TACGCCATTTTCTTAAAACAGAAAGCCACAGTTGCTGAGCCACTCCACCGCCTGCTGGGGAAATCGGCTTCCTGGAAGTGGGGCCAGGAAGAGGAAGCAGCGTTCCGGGCCATCAAGGGACTATTGACGTCCAAAAGCGTCCTCATTCAATACAGTGAGACGCTGCCCATCAAGCTGACCTGTGATGCGTCGCCGTATGGGGTGGGGGCAGTCCTCAGCCACGAACTGCCCAACGGCACGGAAGCCCCCATTGCCTACTTCTCAAAGACCATGTCCGGCGCAGAACGGAACTACAGTCAGCTGGACAAAGAAGCCCTGGCCATCGTGGCTGGAGTGAAGCGCTTCCACGAATACCTCTACGGAAGACGCTTCACCATAGTCACCGACCACAAGCCACTCCTGGGACTCCTTGCAGGCGACCAACCCACCCCGACCTTCATGTCTCCACGGATGACGAGATGGGCCATCTTCCTAGCCGGCTACTCCTACCGGCTCGTGCACCAGCCAGGCACAGCCATAGGAAACGCCGACGCGCTCAGCAGATGTCCGTCGAAAAATCCAGTCGAAGACCCAGCCCCCACGCTCCACCTATTCCATATTGACGACGACGCCAGCTGTCCGGTGTCATCCGCAGATGTGGCCGTTCACACCCAAAAGGACCCCACACTCCGCCAAGTGAAGTCCTGGATCCTCAGAGGGTGGCCATCGGAAAAGCCAGAGGAAAAGTTCAGCCCGTTTGCCAGGAAACAGAAGGAGCTGTCCACCATAAAGGGCTGTCTGCTATGGGGAGACAGGGTGCTGATCCCAAGCACTCTGCAACGGCGGACGTTAGAGACTCTGCACAAAGGGCACCCGGGCATCGTCCGCATGAAGGCCCTGGCACGGAGTTACGTCTGGTGGCCCTCCATGGACAAAGACATTGAGCAATGGGTCTCCAGATGTGACCCGTGCCAAGAAGTTCGCCCAGCACCGCCACAATCCGAAGTCGCAAAGTGGGAGACCCCCAGCAACCCCTGGTTGAGGATCCACATCGACTTCGCGGGTCCGATGCAGGGGCGACACCTCCTCATCGTGGTAGATGCCTTCTCCAAGTGGCTCAAGGTGGTACCCATGGCATCTACCACAACAGAAGCGACGATCCGAGCCTTGCGCCGCCTGTTCGCCACACATGGACTACCGGACGTGCTGGTCTCGGACAATGGCCCCCAGCTCACATCCCTGGCCATGGAGTCCTTCCTGGCAGGACTGGGCATCCGCCATGCCCTGTCCGCCCCTTACAGGCCGGCCGGAAACGGACAAGCTGAACGCATGGTCAGACTGACCAAAGAAGCCCTCACCAAGATGGGCCCGGGAGACTGGCAAGAACGCATAGACAACTTCCTCCTCACCCAGCACATCACGCCACATGCCACCACCCACAAGAGCCCGGCCGAAATGCTGATGGGCAGAAGGTTGAGGTCACCCTTGGACCGGCTGCACCCCCAATACAGCCCGGAAGTGACCGCAACCGCCAGCCGCCCGCTTCGCGCCTTCAGCAACGGAGATTCAGTTTTCGCGCTGAATTTCAACGGCTCTCCTAAGTGGCTGAAGGGGAAGATTGCCAGCACAACCGGCCCCAAATCCTACACCGTCGAGTTGGAAGATGGACAGGTCTGTAGACGTCACATCGACCAAGTCCGGAAAAGGTGGGGGGAGCACATGAAAACCAGCCTGACGAGGGAGGCCTACAACACCCAGACGAGGTAGGCCTCCAACACCCCGGCGAGGTAGACCTACCACACCCAGACGAGGTAGGCCTACAACACCCCGGCGAGGTAGGCCTACAACACCCAGACGAGGTAGGCCTACCACACCCCTGCGAGGCAGAGCAACGCCATCCCGACAAGGTCGGCCCGGCACACTACCAGGTACTGTCACGTCGGCAGTCCAGCGAGGTAGACCGGGGCCAACCGCACGGGGGATGGCAACACCAACCCAGCCAGGTGAGCACCCGGCACAACAGGGCCAGGGACTACCAACCCAGGCCGCAAGTAGACCGGGACCTGCCCAGAGAAGGAGCAGCGCACCCCACCAGTGACGACAGCCGACGCCAGCCCAGCCAGGGAGACTGCAGTTCCAGGCGAGTAGACCGGGACCCAGCCAAGACGGGCAACCCACTACCCATGGGCGAGGGTGGCATACAACACCCCGGCGAGAGGGACCCCCGCCCATCGCAGAAGACAGCCAGGAAACAACAACCCGACCCGGATGACCCCAGGCACCACCCGACGGTAGACCAGGGACTAGGGGGAAGGGAAAGCCAACAACAACCCGGCCAGGGAGACCTACACCACCCCGGCAGGGGAGACCTCCGCCGCTCCGCAGAGGTAGTCCCGCAACAACGTCCCGACCAGGTTGACCACCACCAACCAGACGGGGTAGACCAACACCAGCCCAACCGAGGGGACCAACGACACCCCTGTGAGGTCGGACAGCACAACGACAACCAGCACCACCCACAGCTGGCGGACCGGACCCGAGGGCACTGAGCGGAACCACCACCCAACCGGCAGCAGGCCGGACCGCGACCGAACCGCAGCGCCCGGGAGACCAGGGAGGAGCAAGCGACAGACTTACCGAGACTCAGACGCTCTTCCCGGGTCGGAACCGAGCAACCAAGACGAGGCGATAGATCCACAGGCCAGGAGGAAGACCAACAGAACCAGCCATCCAAGGTCTGCGGTCTGGCCGGAGGCACTGGGGGTGACCCCGCTCACTCGACAGCCGAACCGAGCCCGGTTCCGGAGAGGGAACCAGGAGACGAAGGAGCCCCGTCCATCCAGGCCGGAGACGGAGAAGAAGTGAGACTGCGCAGGTCAGCTAGGGTGCCGAGGCGTCCTACGTACCTGCGCGATTACGTGACTTTTGTGGACGAGATTTGACAGTTCGGACTAAGGGGGGAGGAGTGTTATGTCCTTATAAGGACATCCGCCCTGATTGGCTGCTAGCCATCGGGCGGGAGATTTGAATCCCTGTCAAGGGGCGGTGCGCCTGCCGGGAGCGAATATAAGGAGAGCTCCGGCAGCGCGCCAGCAGTCTTGACTCGTTACTTTGTACCTAATAAAGTTATTAATGTATCGAGCTGGTCCAGTCTTCCTTTCCTGCGCCTGATCTAACACAACAAATGTTATTTTTCATAATGCACACCTGGAAAAAAATGAGCTTTTCTTAATTAGCTACAAGCTCATTTCATTACTGAATGTAGCACCTTAATCCTACTCTCACTAAAGTGTTCACAAACAAAGCATTTCTTGCCATACTGGTGGGCATATTAGACATGACCATTTCTTATCATAATGTGTCCATAACTATATAAATCTATTTCTAATCTTTTGACATTTTGAATTCTGATTATTTGATTATTATCAGACAAATATTTAATTCATGACAAAAGAATTAGAATCTTCTTAAAATCATTTTTAAACACTTAATATTATGTATACATTGTCCTATGTGGGAATTTAAGGAATCGAATGATTTATGAGCAATATCAAATAATCCATTGTAAAGAAAAATATGTAGAGTGCTGCATCAGAATGCAGACTATTAATCTTGAAATTCAGTTAATTTCCATCTTATTTAGCAGAACCTCAAATCTCTATCAGAGAAATCAGTGTGACTTCAGAATGCTTAAAACTATATTAATAGTCAAGATATATGTTCTCTGCTATTTGGAAAAAAAAAACTCCTTTCTGTTCCTTCAGTTTTGTTGAGCCTGTTGTATTTCTAAGTGCATTAAATTTAGAAAGTATTGAACTAGTTAGATCAGCTGATTTATTCAAAAATACTCTACAGAGTTGTACGCCTGGTAAAGTTATACTAGGGTGATTAGAGTGGATAAACCTAGGAGGGATTTAGGATAAATCGTAGCGGCACAATGATGAAGCTGTGATTTATATTTCTCGAGGTCATAGTTGTGCTCTTAATAATAGAAGTATGTGAGGAGTTTATGTGTATACAATACTGTATCTATGTATTTGTGGTGTTATTTCTTCCCATACTGTTGCCTGGAAAAAAAGAAAGAAAACAGAGGATATGTGGGCCTAAGTAAGAAAAAATAAAACAGTAGACTAGGGGAGCAGCCATGTTTACCTCCAGATCCATCTTACCCTAACAGAATAAGAGAGTTGGATGGGACCTTTGAGGTCCAAATACCCTGCCCAAGCAGGAAATGATATGCTATACCATTTCAGATAGATGGTTGTCCAGTCACTTCTTAAAAATCTCCACAATGGAGCATCAACAACTTCTAGAAACAAGTCATTCCACTGGGTTGGTTCCCTTCTTGATTAGTTTCCATTCATTGCTTCTTGTCCTGCCTTCAAGTGCTTTGGAGAATAGGTTGACACTGTCTTCTTTATGGCAGCCCCTCAGATATTGGAACACTGCTATCATGCCACCTTTAGTCCTTCTTTATATTAAACTACAAATTCCCAATCCCTGCAATCATTCTTCATATGTTTTAGCCTCCAGTCCCCTAATCATCTTTGTTGTTCTTCTCTGCACTCTTTCTAGAGTCTCAACATCTTTTTTTACATTGTGGCAACCAAAACTGGATGCCGTATTTCGAGTGTGGTCTTACCAAGGCATTATAGAGCGGTATTAACTCTTCACGTGATCTTTATTTTGGACCCTGTCCAGTTCAGTGTTGGCACTACAAAGTTTCAGACACTAAGGATTCTGCATAGGCAGGCACATATCTGTTTCTGGTCTTATAGGCACTATGTGAAACTTTCCCTTGGGTTCATGCTGCGCTGCATTGGGGTCTTGCCTGTTTTTTTCTTTTCTCCTGCCTTTGCTCTTCCAACCCAAACATGTGTTTTCAATATTCCGAATGTATATTCCACAACCATATATGTTTCCTGGTGTTCCTGGCTGATGCCTGGTTGAGCCTTCCAATAAGCTTGGGATAAAGAGGGAAGTGTCATATAACAGTTCTCTTTCTATGATTCCTATCATGGATAGTGATTGGAAAAAATGGCAGGTGGACATGTTTTCCAGGTATATTGTCTTATGTAATAATTGATTTGGGTTATTTGCATTTTCATCTTCCAGATTTAGTCCACATAAAATGTTTTGCTGTTCGACCACCATAATAATGGCATCTTCCTTGCTTTCCTGCATATTTTGAAGGTAAAACTGTTTCTACTCGTATCAGAAAAATTATGTGTTTTCTTGACTGACATCTGGGAATCAGAGTTTAACCAGTATGACCATTTTCAGTGGAACAGTAAAAAACCCCAAGCAAGTAGAATGGAAATGAGAAAACCTTAGGTTCACAAGAAAGCATGTTACTACTTAAAGAAAATAAGGTAATAAAATTGAAAGTTTAAACCTAGCTCTCCTAAGTTTCTCAAAGTACAGTTTTACATTCTGGATTCAGAAATTGGGATCTTATGGCCTATTAAAGCTTAATGAAAGAACCATATGTTAGCATGAAGGATCAGTTCACATTCTTTCAAAGATACTAAAAACTTGCATTCCTGTCTTTGTTCTTTTTTGGAGAAAAATGTACTAAATTGCGTTCCATTGTTCAGATTTTTAAAAATGTCCTGACAAGAAGCAGACTAATAAATGTGTATAATTTGTAAGGTAAAAAAAAAAATCAAAACTATATAAGAAACATAACAAAAATTCAAGTATGGACTTGCTTCAAAACTTTTTTTTGCAGGTGGGCAGAAAAATCTATTGGAACACATTTTGGGGAGGAAAATCACGCATCATATTTTACCTCAATCTCTTGCCAGTATGAACACTTCCATTCCACTTGACAAGCTGTTGTCCTAATTCAATGAAGTTAATTATGTGTGTAAATCCATCAGTGGTAGTAAATTACCAACACATTTACTTAAATATAAGCATATGCTTAAATTCTAAAAAGTCCAAGGGGATCAAGTTAAATCTAAACATACTCTAAATCTGGCATGAGGATAGCTTCCTCTGTAATGCCCATTTTATGATTATACTGTACTTCTCACAAAGTATATGTCATACAGCTTTCAATTGTCTTCATGCTGAAGTCTGATGTTTTTCTAAGCTGTGAAAACCCAAAGGAACTGCCTAGAACAAATGGAACATTCTCTTTAGATGAATCTGACTTCTCTACCAGGTCTGTTCATCATATAGATTCTGGATGTGAAGTCCTGTGGGGGTTGCTTTTTCTTAAAGCCAAAGGCATTTTTCAACAATTTATATGTAGTCAGTGTGAAAGAGTATTTCATAATGTCAGGATTCACATCTGGGATCAACAGTATAACACCAGGCTGACATTTTCACCCCTTAGCTCAGTTTCTTGGCTTGACTTGGCTGAAGACTCAACAGACACAACTCAGCTAGATGAGAATCTTGACTGCAGTAAAAAAATGAAGGCACACAGTCAACATTGCAGGTCAAAAATGTCAGAGATATGTATCTATTTGCATGGGTTTAAACTCAAGGCTCATTTTTCCTGCCTGCCCAGATTAATGGATTTAATTAATTAATAGGCTTGGTTCTTGTTAGACTTGAAATTAAGTCATTTGTGGTATGTTTACATAATCATCTCTTGCCTGGGTTGGGTTGCCTCCTCACTAATTTCAACCCTAACAATAAATATAATAAAACCCTTCAATTAAATAACTGCCTGAAGAGATATAGTGTAATATACACAAATGCTCACCAGGAGCAAACAATAGTAAATATCTTCTTGGAATGGAGGCACTATTAATGTTGTTATTATACTTTGCCTAGTATGCACACTTCTTGCAAATGTTTTCCTTTTTAATTAATAGTTCAGCAATATAAGATGCTTTCATTTTTTAAGAATGGAAAACTATATTTTCTAGGTATGATAGGTCCATTTTATGTTGCATTAATCAGATCATACCTTGAATGCCATATCCTTTTCTTTGGGTTATCATAATACAAGATGGATGATGACAACCTAGATAGAGTTCAGAGAAGAATATCATAATTGATAAGGAGTTTGGAAGCTAAATCCTAATGAAGAAAGAATACATTTTTAGCCTAAAAAGATTAGAAATCTGAGGGGATATATGATAGTTGCCTTTCAGTTTCTGAAGGGCTGTCATAGGAAAGAAGATATGGATATATTCTGTACAGGTCTTGAGGGAAGAACAAGAACCAGAGCATAGAAATTTTTCACAGGGAGATCCAAAGTCAAAATAAGGAAGAAATTCCGCATCACAAGAGCTATTAAGCAGTGGACTGGCCTGCTTCTTGGACGTTTTCAAGCAAACATTGGATTTCCATTTATCTGGGATGGTTTCAGTCCTGATCAGGAGTTTGGACTAACAAGTTTCCAAGATTCCTTCCCATTTTTAAATTCTAGGTCATTGCAAAATTGTGTGTTGTCGTCCCCCCCCCCCCAATTGAATATCAGATTAAGAGAACCGGAACCATTTGATTGAAATATTATTTAAAAATAACACTAGCATGGTTTCTCAACTTGTTTCTTTGTGTAAAATATTCTCTACTTAGTATCAATCGCTCTGCAAACTGCCTCAAGGAATTTTTGAAAGGTTGTCAAAGCTCTTTGGTTCAATTTGCTCCCAAGACATAAGCATGAATTAGGCTTGCTTGTTGCTACTTGTCAATGTTTAGTAGCTGATGGCAAGTTCCACTGGCTGTGGTGCCAGGTGGGCGGCTGTACAGCCACTTCAATTTAGCAATCTCACCTCTTGGTTGCCAATGAATCACAGAATCACCAAGGCAGAAACTTTGTTTCCTCTTACATGGTAAATTCGCCAGATTCTTGTAAATTCGCAGGATATTTTGTTTTTTGCAAGGTATATGTATACATTCGAACTAGACTGATGTTTCTCCGTGTCATATATATGTGCGTGTATGTGGGTATATGTATAATGGCTATCTTTTGAGAGCTAAATGCAATGAAATTTCATTTTAATGTATGCTGATTAGTTTGCATTTAAAGTGACAATAAAGTTCTATTCTATTCTATTCTATTCTATTCTATTCTATTCTATTCTATTCTATTCCATTCCATTCCATTCCATTCCATTCCCTTACCCTACAAATGCTAAAATCTTCCTTGAAAACGAAGGCAAAGCCTTCTAAAGGAGTCCTGCCAAATTAGATGCATCTGTGTGCTAAACTAGAGGCCTTTCAGATAAGGCTCACCAAGTGTAGAATGTCTCACATAGAGAAACTTGCCTGGCACTTACTTACTTTTTAATGACTGCTGCTCATCATTATTTTCTAAGGCATTCTAAACTTTTCAGGATTTCACTTCAATTTAGTTTCAAACTGACATAGGATGCTAAATTACATCAGCTTTTGACCATTGCTCTGGAAAATCCTGTCTGTAGAACTGCCAGTTCCACCCTTCAGATCAAAGAGAAAGAGAAAAACAATCCAGAACATTTGGGTGCTTAATCAAACTGAACTGCCAAAGTACTCAGCAAGGAATCCATTCCTTTTATGTAGAAATGAACTAATAAGAGAAAACACAAGTGTAAGAACGCACACAGAATGCCCGGTATTTTCTTCACTTAGTAATTCTTGCAGATATTTTGTCAATAAAATTCTAAAGATATTGATAGAAATAATGCAGAGGAAGCAAAAATGTGTGATTGCTTTCCTTGCCACAAATTGTCTTGTCACCTTGAAAACAATATCAAAGGAAGCTGAGGGAAAGGTTGTTGGTTGCTGGTTACCTTGTATTGTGCTACCCTGCACTTTCTAAATGCTTCTTAGCTCGATGCTGTACATGTGTCAAGGGTCTCAATGTTAACCAACAAGGTAGCTTATCATGCCATGAAGTGAAAGACCTGTGTCTCTCTCCCATTCATCCTTTTGCATTTGTTTCAAAAATTCATCAGAGGGAAGTATCTTTATCTTCATGCTCACTCATAGATACAGTTGTCAGCAAGAGATTCCTGGTCTCCAATAGTGACCTGGGACTTCATATAGTACTGGCAATAACTTTAGGATCACTTTGAAAAATTGTATGTAATTCCATCATCTGTGATGAAATTATTTCATTAATTATTTCATCAATTATTTTATTTAAAAAAAAAACTTCCTGTTCACCCAAAATGACAATATGATCCGATTCTATTTCTAACTTTTATTTCTACATTTAAATAGTTTTTCATTAAATTCAATGAAAGATTGGATCTAAAACCTTAAATGATCCCTTATAATTCTGTGGCTCTATTCTCATCGGTACCTAACCATAGTGCAAACATGGTATGACAACATATTTTTTTTTCTGCCCTGTCCCCATGACATCTCATGCTCAGTTCACAAATAAGATAAGCTCAAATTATTCTTAGCAATAAAATGGTATATTTCCTCCTGTTCGGAAGCTGTCCCAGGGCAGTGCCAGACACTCATTATTTTGAAGAGAAGTCACAGGGGCTCAAAACAGAGGCAATAAAAATATGATAGAAATCAACTGTGGGGATGACAAATTTATGCTAATGTAGTTTACTGCCTACTAAGGTACAGGTAGAACCTGTAGCATTATTATTTAGTACTGTACTATAGTGAGGAAAAATCTTGTCTTTTAGAAAGTGTATATCAAGTCTGCTGCCACTAGATGGCACACAATCCACTTCTTACTAGCATAGATGGTGTGCTTTGCAGAATGTTACTGATTATCCATATTCAGATTGGCAAAGTTTTCTTTTATAGTATATTGTTTAGTGCATTGAAAAGAATTATTAAGACCTTCTATGATTTTAAAAGTAAACGTTTGTCCAAATGTTTATGTCCATCAGGATCTGGGATAAGGATTTGCAATCAGCTGATTACCAATAGTTCTGAAATTGGATGGAAAATTTGCTATCAGAATAACCAATTCGATTATTTCATTCGAATTTCATTCGAAGTGAACTTTAAAGTGAACTTGAGTATTTCTATAAAAATAATAGTTTAATAAAGTAAACATGTGAAAGAAATCTTTCTTCTTCTTCTTTTTGGATAGCATAAATTCTATAAGGTTTTGCACATCCCGAGGAACAATTTTCATAAATCGTTAGATGACATGGATTTTTAAAAATTGATCTTGCTTTTTCCCTGATATGCTGCTATTACATAAATGAAATATTCACCACCCAGGGAATAGTCAGCCACAAAAATCTTCCCACTTCAAGTCCGTGGTAGTATAGACTTGGCAACTTTATATGGGGATTTGTTTTATTGGCCCACTTAGGTGAGCTCAGAAAGTGTGCCCCTTGAATTCAGCACCAAAGCTTTGAAGAGGAAACCGAACGAAGATATGAATGCCAATAATAGAATTTTGTCTGTTCTATTATTTATTTTATTACCCATCTACAATAACAAGACATATGATAAGTAAAGTTTCTGACATGAGGGTTAAGTGGGGTAAAAACCAAAACAAAATTACCAAAACGGAAGCTCATTTTTAGTACATAAATTTCAATTTCTATTTGTCATATCTATTTCAAAAGCTTCAGGATTGAAAGATTATCTAACTCACAGTCTCTCTCTCTCTCTCTCTCTCTCTTTCTCTCTCTCTCTCTCACACACACCAGCATATATCTGTCAATTTTACAACATCTGCTTTTTAAGGAGTGGCCCATTAAGAGGCTGGCTGTACTTTTCTTAGGCTCTATAAATCAGGGCTAATCTGGATACCTTGGGATTGGCATATAACGGCTTGGCTCTTTTGAATCTGTCTTTCTAACCTGACACCTTCCAAATGTCTTGGGACTGTAACTCCCACACTTCCCAGCCAGTGATTGTTCACATCTGGAAGGCACCACAAGAGTTGAGATACTGTTCCAGAAGCTTCAGAATACAATGCAAACAATCCCAGCTTTTAATTGGCTAGCCATTTTAAAAAATAATTCTGATTTATTTTTCCTTACTCCTTTTCAGTGCCTGTTTTTTTATATCTATTATGTTCCATACTTGTCAGCTGCTGAGAATCCTAGGAGGAAGGTGGGTTAACCCTTTTTTATAACTATTGTGCCATTTCATATCACTTTGGAATAATAGGTTTTAAAATGTAAACTAGTACAGGTAGTCCTCGACTTATAACACTTCATTTAGTGACCATTCAAAATTATAACAGCACTGAAAAAGTGACTTAGGATCATTTTTCACACTTACAATATTTGCAGCATCCCCACCGTCATGGGATCAAAATTCAGATGCTTGGCAACTGACTTGTATTTATGACAGTTGCAGTGCCCTGTGTGATCACCTGGGGAAGCCACATTCACTTAACAACTGTTACCAACTAAACATCACCAGTGATTCACTTAACAATTGTGGCAAGCATGGTCGTAAAATGGGGCAAAACTCATTTAACAAATGTCTCACTTAGCAGCATAAATTTTGGGCTCAATTGTGGTAGTAAGTTTGAGGACTACCTGTATAGAAAATAGCCACCATTATGAAATCACATTAACAAACAAGAAGCGAAAAGCATAGAAAGGTTCCCATCAGTTGGAATAATTGGATAAAATAGCCCTTTACTTTCTTCCAGCTTTTTACCACCTGGTGTTTTCCATGCTAGCTCAGAATTTAGAGAATTATTTGATGCTTAAAATTGGCATCAAAATAGAGAAGTAAGAATTCAACATGCAAGATTTCTTGGAGACGGGCAGCAGAGAGATAAGTTAAAGAGACCCTGACCCTTCTTTGTCTCCTTTGTTGATCCCTGTCTTACATCTAATGTTTCTGTTTTCAGTCACTGTCTTCCTTCCAAGGTAATGGATGACACATCTAGCAGATTTTATATGTCTTCAGGCTGCCCTTGGATGATGTCTGAATAAGAGGAAAAGTTCCATAGGAGTATAACTAAAGATGGCAAGCCTATCTCATACATAGGCAAGGGATGAGAGGAAGAGAGGGTTATGGAGAAGATGCTGCTACAGTATATTTATGCCGTATTTAGGTACAAGTGGGGCCTCTTATGGGTTACGGCAGTGGTGAAATCTAATTTTTTTTACTACTGGTTCTGTGGGCCTGGTGTGGCTTGGTGGGTGTGGCTTGGTGGGCATGGTAGGGAAAGGATACTGCAAAATCTTCTCCCCCCCTCTCCCCCACTCTTGGGCTAGTCAGAGGTGGTATTTGCCGCTTCTCCGAACTACTCACAATTTCCGCTACCGGTTTTCCAGAACCTGTCGGAACCTGCTGGATTTCTCCCTGGGTTATGGTCAAAAGGATACGCCCTGCAACAAGGAAATCTGCATTGTGAAGCAAAGGCATATGGGTTAACTTGTGGCCTCCTTCAGTTCTGATCCCCATCATAAAGAGATATTTTGGACTTTGGGAATGAATGTATGTCTCAACACTGTCAAACTATTCACTGAGGCTGCATTACTATTAGTCTTCTCATTGTTCCTATCACCCATCTCTTCCCACTTATGACTGCATGACTGTAACTTTGTTGCTTGTATCCTTACAATTTATATTGATACTGTTTCCTAATATGACTTGATTGCTTATTTGTACCGTATGACTATTATTAAGTGTTGTACCTTATGATTCTTGACGAATGTATCTTGTCTTTTTATGTACACTGAGAGCATATGCACCAAAGACAAATTCCTTGTGTGTCCAATCATACTTGGCCAATAAAGAATTCTATTCTATTCTATTCAAGTTAACATACTAAATATACCAACACTTCCATTATAGCACATATCATGCTCCTTGCTCGTCTCTTTGAGAGGATCTTGACGCTCTCTGAACTTGGTTGTTTCCTTGCAGGTGTTTCATTACCCAAATTAGGTAACATGCACTAATGATGTTACTAAGTTTGGGTAATGAAAAATCTGCAAGAAAACAACCAAGTTCAGAGAGCACCAGGGACCCCTCATTTCAACCCAGAGCTACAAATATTCTCCTCTATTACCTCTTTGATTCTTGAAGAAAGAATTTTATTGGGACAGTGCAGAAAAATAAATAAATAAAGCAATACCTTGACTCCAGGTGTTTTTAACTTTGGAATTAGTTAAATTTGTCAAATAAAGTTGGTCCCAGTTATCATGACTTTTAAGATGTCTGTTGCAAACTTGCAGATTTATCAGTTTCCCTGGTGGCAAAGGTTTGTCAACAGTTTTCATTAAATCAAGGTGTTTTTTCAAGAACGTGTTATCATTTCAACATGTTGCATAATTAAAGGATTAGCATGCTTCTTTAAATAAGTTTAGGGAAGACATTTGTGTGTGTGTGCAAATTCATTCCTGGTTAAATAATTTGCCATGGATTTCAAGATTTCAAATTAATATACAAAGTGCATTTTCTTACTGAGACTCTATGGGAAAAAAGACATCTGGAAAACTTTACCATGAAATTATCTCCTTTATGTCATGGAAAAAGAGATTGTGTGTTGGATCCATAAAGTCACAAGAGTTGATTCTAATGCTTCATCTGTGCAGATCTGGGAATGAATCATTGTTTGGCTATCCTTTAAAAGTATACAGCCCGAATTGGTAACATTCAGTTCTGCTTATAAAGCCTGATTCTCTTCATCAGTGGAAGAATGTATTAGTGTATGACGTACTACTTTTTTTGCAGTATGCAATCATTTAGCAGATTTTTAAAATTTAATGTGTTGGTGGGTTTATCTCATCCTTCTTCAATCTTGTAGCTCCCAGACATTTGGGTCCCTTAGCTGCCATAATGCTCAGAATGAGCTCCATGCTTGTTAAGATATCTGAGAATTCCCACACATCTGGAGGGCATCAAGGTGGAAAAGATTGGATTTTTTATTGATTCAATATGGAAATTTAATTAAAAGGGCAAATACATATTTCAAAACTAATACTTAGTTTAACAGTTTTGAATAACCTTTAGCGTGCATTTATTTAATCCTCTATAATACAGAGGAGGGATGCGGTGGCTCAGTGGCTAAGATGCTGAGGTTGTCACTTGAAAGGTCAACAGTTCAGTGGTTCGAATCCCTAGTGTCACATAACGGGGTGAGCTCCCGTTACTTGTCCCAGCTTCTGCCAACCTAGTAGTTCGAAAGCACGTTTGGTGGGAAGGTAACCTTTGGTGGGAAGTTAACAGCATTCCATGCACTTTTGGCATTTAGTCATGCCGGCCACATGACCACGGAGACGTCTTCGGACAGCGCTGGCTCTTTGGCTTTGAAATGGAAATGAGCACCCTAGAGTCGGGAAGGACTAGCACATATATGCGAGGGGAACCTTTACCTTTACCTTTAATACAGAGGACTATTTGCAAAAATGTAAACATCACCTGTATGTTTAAACATACGTCTTCAGATTTTGTTTTGTCTTGGCTTCTTTCTCTGTCATAATACGCTAAAACCAGTTGATTGTCTGAAACCAGTTGATTGTCTGGCAGTGCCTGTGGTTTGTCTTATGATTCAGACTTTAAAATTTAGAATTTAGAACTGAATCTCGATTTGATTTCAGAGGTAATATATTCACTAGGGATATACTCAGCTGGGATCCAACCCCATGAGGGTTCCTTCCCCATCTGCTATCATAGATTGCATCTATTGAAGTAAGCTACAGCTCACAAAAGTTTGGGTCTTTTTGTATCTTTTATTATTCTCAAAAGGGGCTGCTGGACTCTTTCTGATTTTTATGCATTCCACCAATTGCATAGCTTCAACTAAAACCAGGACTGGCACATAGCATGCATTAAAAAAACAGCAACAACCACAGATGTTGTCCTCTTTTACATCTCTACAATGGGTGGACCATGCATTCTAGCATTTTTCTCTTGTGCTTTTTTTTTTTCATTAGAGAGAATAAATGACTATGTTTCCCCCTAACTCCCAGTTCACATTTCATATTCATTTAGCTAGTTATAGTGACCTGATTCCAGTCTATAGCTTGTGGAGACAAAACTAAGGAAAACTGTGTCTAGTTTAGGAGGACTTGCAGATCAAATGGATTGATGTAGCAGAGCACATGCTTAAGTGAATCACCCAACAAATGCTGTCCAGATGACACCACAAAGCACAACTAGCCACAATGTGGGCTCACCCACCTAGCCTTCTTGCCGCACCTCAAAGACATCCTACTTAGAGTACTTTTTGCCAGAAGCAGAAGATTCTCACAATCTTCCAAACACAGTTGGTGCATAGTCTGGAGGTCTTCCTTGATTTATACTCCTGCTCAAATAATGTCTTTGCACAAATACATCTTGCTCACATGTGCCCTTTTTAGCTAATGAGACACTGCTTATAGTCACTGATACTCTAGTTAGGTTGTTGGCTGTTATCACCTTTAAAGCCCTAGATGGCATGGCTCCACAGTGGTTTCTGCCTGTCCCATTAGACCTGACAGGAAAGGCATGTTCTGAATGCTCTCAGTGAAGCAGTGTCACCTGACAGATCTTAGAAAGCATGCCATCTCTGTCATGGCACCTCTCGTAATTGTGGGAAAAATAGCAGGTGAGAGCATTAGCTATATGCACCTCCTTTTAATCAAAACTAAAGGCAGGATAAAAAAAAGACTAATAAAAACATAAAAATGTTGTCAAATAGACTTTTTAATTTAATTTTTAATAGGGGCCTCGGCTTGGATTTTTAAAAAATTGATTTGGATTATGTATGATATTTTGGTGGACATGATGGCTCAGCGGTTAAAGGGCCTGAGTTTGTCAGCCTAGAAAGCTGACATCCCGGGTTCAAGACTCATGTACTGCACAATGAGGCGAGCTCATGTTACTTGCCCTAGCTCCTGCCAACCTAGCAGTTCGAAAGAATGCAAAAGCTAGTAGATAAATAGGTACCACTTTGGTGTGAAAGTAACAGGGTTCAGCTCAGTATATAACCATGCTGGTCACATGACCATGGAAAGGGTCTTCGGACAAGGCTGGATCCCTCGGCTACGAAATGGAGATGAGCACTGCCTCCTAGAATTGGATACAACTGGACAGGAGAATATCTTTTGCTGTTATATTTTTATCTTTGTTCACTATCCAGAAGGCCACCGATTAGATGGAGA